TTGTTATCAAAATCCTTCGTATTTCTTATTGTTCCATATCTCTTCAAAAAGTTTAATCTTTTAACAAATTCACCTTCTAATAGTTTTATACTTCTCCATTTCATATCAATATTTTGAAGTGGAAAAATATAAAACTATTAAAAGTTGAATTTTTAAAATAAGTCTTTTGATACAAAAATGTGTAAATTACAGATTTCTGTATCAAAAAACTTACTTTAAAAATTTATCATCAAAATTACATCTTTTTGAAGAGCTCACTTTTAATAACAATGTTTTTAATTTAATTGAAGAATCAGAAGATCAAAATCATTTAATCTAAAATTAGTATTAAAGAACTGGAATAGAATTTCAATTTATTAAATAACAATTTTCCTCAAATATCCAAAATGGCATTTACTAACTGATGCAACATGTGCTGAGAATGTATAGTTTCATCCTCTGGATTAAAAAAAGTACTAGCACAATTCACATTCCTAATATTTCTATTTCTTCATGATAACAAAAAATAAATTAAGGTAAAATTTTCCTTTTTCTTGTTTAATTTGAAAATTCCCACAAGTTGGAAACATTAATTTGAAGTGTAACTTTCTTTGTGGCCAAAATTGCATAATATTCTTATGGTTAGTATTATTAGTTAATGTCAACTCTTAAAGGAAGCTCATGGGGATTGACAGTAACAAGAATTTACTGTAAATATGATAATTTCTTAAATTATAATTTTATTCTTAAAAATATATACCTCTGGATGGACTTTGATGAATGCAGAACTCTCACCCCATTGATGTTCTTGCTGTTCTTTTGGAAGTAAATGCTCTTCCATAGTAATTGTAATACTAACAATTGGCTATTCTGTAAAAAAAATATATTTTTTAATTATAGAATATATAAAACTGGATAAAAAAAATATATTATTATTATTTACATATCTAAATTTATTAGAAAGTTTGAATCAAATACAAGTGTTCAATTTTGAGTTTTAACTTTCTAGGTTTATTAAAACAAAAATTAAAGCAAAATATATCCAAAAATTATTTCTGAAGATAAACTTAAATTTTAAAATGGATTTTATAATCCTATCATTACTGTATTTCCTCAATTCTAAGATGGGCATTTTTACTTGTCTAAAATAGAGGTGTTCTTATATTGACAGTTCAAAACAACAATCAGCAGTCATTGCAAATAGACCACATATTGTACTGTGTATGCACTATTAATAAATATTTTTGACTACATTATATAGCTATAGTACAGCTGAAAATAAAATATTTTGCAAAATTATTTATTTATGTTACATCTTTAACAAGGCCAAACATTTTACAATTAATAAATGGATAATTAGAACAAACAAGGAACTGTACCATCTGTATTATATATTTCATGTAAACAAGTTAAAGACCAACAGACTGTGTGTTGGATCACATGGAAAATATGGCTGACAACAGGAAACTAAAAAAATTTACATAAAAGAAATGGAAAACATTAAAACAGATTGATGGATAATAAGTTATAAATGATGATATCAGAGAAGTAGGAAGAGAAACTGGATTGAGAAGATTGGGGATAGAAAGAAGTGGAGGAAAAAACTATTTTTTGCTAAGAGTCTTAAAGATTGCATCATGCAGAAAACTTATTGATAATTAAGATTGGAATGTTGAAAAATATCCAAGAAATCTCTGAGACAAAAAACATCAAGAATGCATATTACAATTTGAATTTTATATTTAAACAAGAAACCAATTAAACTAGATAAATTTCAAATAATTGTTTATGTTCTGTATCTGAATATGATTGAAAAGTTATTGCTAGATTATGAAATTTTTTGTTTTGAGATGTTTTACATTTTATAAATAAATTACAAAAATCTAAATAATTCAAAATACAGAAATGATATAATCTAATCATTTAATAAATTATATTGCAAAATTAGGGATAAAGACATATACCACATAGGAGATGCACTACATAAATTCAGTCTTTGATCTTAATATAAAAGTGTAAATTATATTTGATTTCATAAACAATACTGATGTTTTGATCCCTTAACTTACTAAACAAATCCAGAAATCCTGTTTATCATTACATAAAATATTTTCTAATTATTTTATGTAATGATTGGAAAACATTTTAGCTTCATTCTCAAATATTCAAATTGGAGCGGTTAAGAATAAAAGATTTCAAAAACATTTATGTAATGCTATATTTTGAGACAACATGAAGTGTTGGCACTAGACACTGGACTTTTCCACATTCACTTTATTTTCAACATAAAGAAGATAGTTATGTAATGATTAATAGAATTTTATAATCAGTTTGTTTCTATTTATTTTGAATTGTTTTATAATGATTTCAATTCTGTAAACAAACAAATGTTGCAAATTCACAAACAACTATCAGACTGTTAATTTAGCTTCTGTAATAGCAGTTCTTAAAAAAGTCAATATTTCAGATTTATCATATAACTGTTGCTTTTTACCAAGTTGTATCCTTGATATAAATTATGATAATCAGAAAAATAAATTACTTGAAATGTTAAACAATAAGATTATAGAATAACAGAAACTTTTCAGGAAAAGAATTTATAAAAGAACTAGCATCAGAAGGCAACATAGTAAGTTTAATCCAGCTTGCAAAACAGGAAAGCATCAGTCTTAGATAAGACTTACAAACTATATAAAGTTACTGGAAAATGCTATTAATGTTTTTTACATTTTTATGCCAATAAAATAATTATACAGTCTGCATTTGGAAAACATCCAATGTTTTTATCTATGCAAACAGAAAAAGATTAATATTTATATCAACAGACAAGGAATAAAAACCAAGAACTTTGAAAATTATTTTGTTACTGTTTGTTCATGTGAATGCATTAGAAATATGACTGCATAAAGAAAGAAAAAAATGTATTTTTAAAATTAATGATGTTCAAGACTTAAAGCAGCTTATATTTTCAGTATTGATTTATTTTTCATTTTTGATTTGATTTAAGACAGTAATCAAATTATAGATAACAACATCTATCTATAAGAGAAATAAAGATTTTACCTATTGTATAATTAATGTGATTTATTGTATTTATTAATTGACAAGACTATATCTTGTTTATAAAATCATACTGCCCGATGTTCTTACCAGCATAGTGGTATGAAGGAGTACATGTTGAGAGTTGATATTTGGCACAGAGTATTAGGTGCCCAAATCATTTGCGCATAAAAAAATCCAGACTCATAGGTAGTCGGTCTGGATTTTTTTATCCAGACCCTTCTGGATTTTTTTATCCAGATTCCTCGATTCTCAGGGGACTGAGAATCGAGGAATCTGGATAAAATACATCACAATAAAATACAAAATGGCAACCCTCTTCTACAAACAGGCAAAACAGCCACCTCACCCCACCAAAGTCAGGTAGCGGAGAGTACCACCCACAGTCATTCTAAGAAGTGAACTCTGACCTTAGGACTGAACGGGTAGTTTCTTCTATGTTAAATAACCTAATTTTGTAAATTTGGGAGTGCTTCAAATATGATGTTAGAATGGTTTTATGTCATTACAAGTGGGTTTTTTTAAACATTATCTAGTATAGTAAAATCGTAGGACCAATAAAAATTTGACGTTATATTAGGACTGTCGTTACATTTGATGACATTATAATCGGGTTAAACTGTATATTGTTTGTGTATATTGTATAATTTCAGACGATACAATAGCCATGATTATTTTTTTCAAAAATGGGAACTTTTCGTTATGCATCGACAAAAATTCAACCCAGGCCAACACGCAACAGAGAGAAATTTTGAAATTGGATGGGTTAATTTCATTAAAAATGCATCGTGGACGACCTCGTGGTTGTCGCTGGTGAAGTTTGAACAATCGCGCCCAAAGGCAGCAATATCAAAGAAGATAGGAGAATGAAAACAAGACCTGCCTTGAGCATCAAAGTGATTCCATCTCCGAGACATAGTCTTGTCCCAAATATGGTTTTGCCGTTTTACTTGTTTAATTTTAGAAACATTTTCCATATACTGATTCCAGGATGATATCCTTTATCATGTCACAAACAACAGTTTTTGTTGTTGAACAACTTTTGTTTTGTGATTTTAATAATTTTGAAGTTACAATGGAAAATAGTATAAATATTTTCTATTGTAATTTTTACTTTTATTTTTACAGTCTATCTTACTGTTGTGCTTATATACCACATTTTTTTTATGTTTCTTTCTATATTTTATATCATTTTATTTGTATATATCATATTTACATTAGTTATGTCTATCATTTTATGCTTTTTTTACTGATTCATATTTTTGTTTATTGTATGTTTTATGAAAGGTTGTTTACAGTGTTTTATGGAAGGCAGTAATCTCATGCATTTAGATATTATTTTTGTGTTAAATAATTAAAAAAGAATTAATAAATAAACAATACCACCAGATACAATCTTAAAATCAGTATAGTTTGTTTCATGCCTTCCATGCTAAAAATGATGACAAAAATAACCAATAAACAAATTTTAACCATACCTTTATAACATGCATATGCAAAGAAAAATATTTATGCAAAGATATTATTTTTTATATCATAAC